CAGCGTGCAGCTCCGGGCGGCCCTTACCCAGCAGCCGCAGCCTCACCCACAGCAGCGCCCCCTGCTGCTCCTGATGCAGCGCTGCAGCCGCCGCAGGGGTCACCGCAGATGCAGACGAACACCACGCAGACAGCTGCCGCAGCACCGACACACTCCTGAACACACACACACACACACACACACACACACACACACACACACACACACACACAGGGGTCAGCTGAGCCGTAATGGCGGATACACTGAGATCTGCAGGGAAACAGCACAATCCGCTCATCTCTGACTCAGGACAGGAGCTGAAAATGTCCATTAGAAATGTAAGAGTAATCAGAGTAATCAGTGCCTTTACTTCTATAGAGTGATTGGAAAGGTACACTACTCAAGACATGTTAAATCAGGGGTCACCAACATGGCGGCACCAGGTAGCCCTCGAAGATCACGTGTGTTGCCCGCAGGCCTGTTCTAAATCTAGCTCACCATAGCACCACTCACCAGCAACCTTCATCTAATATAGAAGTAATCAGTGAAACATGTGAATATTTGCAGATATCTAAAATAAAGTGATGCACACTGATACATTAAACACAGGGTGTTTCCTACACTGGTAAATCATTGCTGATCACTTTAGTGAGATCATTAACATGATCAGTGTCTCCACGTGGATGAACATCATTCATTATTACCAAAAACATACAGTAAAATTAAGTTAATTGAGCAAATGTGTTATTTGAGAAGTGTTTATTAAACTGGTAGCCCTCCGCATTAATCGGTACCCAAGCAGCAGCTCTCAGTGTCATGGAGGTTTGTGACCCCTGATGTAAACCGGGTAATCTGTGATCTGCTACATTTCCAGAGTCGCCTCCCCAACACTGGCCACGTGTGTGTTATAACTGACCTGAGAACAGTGAACTGCACTGGGCCGGCTCTGCTCTGTGTTTCTCCGCCCAGCTCCACAAGCTCCGCCCACTCATCCACCAGCTGTTGCCATGGGCAACGGAACGGCGCCACACAGCCGTGTTTGACGTAGTTTGTGCGTTTGGAGGGAGGACGCCTGAAACAGAGGAGCGTCAGGACGGACACACACACACACACACACACACACACACACACACACACACACACACACACACACACACACACACACACACACTGAGGAGTGTATAACACACACACACACCTTTTAAACTTCTCCAGAAGCTCCGCCTCCTGCTCTGATTGACAGCGCTCTCCTGCAGGGCAGTCTGGGTAATCGTGAGGGAAGTGCGGCTGAGCCATGAACTGAGCGTGTTTAACACTCATGTGGAGACCACCGACACGCACACCACGATACACCTGCAGAACACACACACACACACGCGCACACACACAAGATTACATGCGTCTGCTCTATATCTGGCCAATCACGTGGAGAGAAAACACTGATCACTTCTGATTGGCTGGAGAGTCTGGGGTTCAGGATCAGTTCTAGAGCAGGTCAACACTGCAGAGCTGGTTCATTACTGTGTGTGTGTGTGTGTGTGTGTGTGTCGTACCAGAGGCACCCAGAAGGCCATGGCCCAGCCCTTGGGCAGCAGCAGGTCCCAGCCGGAGCCCCAGCGCAGACGCTCCTGTCCACACACACGACCCGGCTGATGGAGGAGCAGCAGCGGCACCGCACACACACCCGACACACACACTGCAGAGCCCGGCACCAGCACATCACTGCGCACGCGGTTCAACTCCTGACACACACAAGCATGAGCGCGAGCGCGCGCGCCCACACACACACACACACACACACACACACACACACACACACACACACACACACACACACACACACACACACACACACACACACACAAATACACAACACAAAACAAACACACACAAATACACAACACAAAACACACACACAAATACACTATACACACACACACACACACACACACACACACACACATACACACACACACACACACACACACACACACACT